ATGCCACATCGCGCATCCTACCCTGAGATGGGAGCTTCCTGAAGTGAACCCCCTCCTTCTGGAGTGCCTCACATGAGGCTTCCAAGTCATCACCTATATCAACAGAACAGCATCAAGACTAGAAGGACAGGCGCGGCTGGGTTTCCAGCGCAAAAGAATCTCACTTTCTATATGGAAGGCGATGTGGCCGAATCCTCGGTGAGGTTCCTCATTCCCGTTATTGGCTTTCCAGTCGACAGGATCATCCCAGCTATGAGTGAGCTCTAAGTAGTTATCTGAACACCACAGGAATGAAATGAGCCGATCTGGATCGCGATGACGAACAACTGTCCGCCTTAGATTTGATAGCCGCATCTCACCAGGCATCGTCCAGAGGTACTTTTCACTCTCCAGAGTGCCAACCGTGGTAGGCAGTTTACCAGCAGCATCCGGCCTCGGTGTCTCGAGGAAGTATAGAGAGAATTTCCACTGAGGGAAGTCGTACCTTCAGTGAGAAGGCAATGCCCGATGAGACCAAGATAACTAACATTACTTGTGAATGAGTTTCATCCCAAAGTGTTTTGTATAGAAGTCAATGGTCACCTTAGGGTCCTTCACCCTCAACATAGTGTGCTGGAACTCACTATGGAGCTTCTGGCACATGCTCGCGGCCGTAGGGCCAACTCGCCCGGCACGAGACTCCATTACATGCGACCAACCGAACGCCATAATCTCAATGATGCTAAGAACAAACCACCACTGAGGTGAATAGTTGCCAACCATCGATAAGGTTGCACACTGTCATCATAATACCATAGACAAGAGTAGTCAAGTCAGCCTCCTCACCTAACAAGATGAATGTACTTGTGAGGTGCTGATTTCAATGTAGATATGATCGCAGCTTGCTCTGATAGATTGGGACAGCTACACATTTGGATCACAATCGTTTGTCCCCAACTAAACGCAACTCTGTGTGTCAATAAGCATCTTTCTGATGTAAGCCGTGACGGCCTTCACTCACGGTATTTTTGCGACACAAATCCGATGTCTCCGGAAGCCTCTCTACCGTCCGCATATCAACACAAGTCTTTAATGGTGGATTCACTACAACACATTACATGCATTCATGACTATAGGCAAATGCCACTGGGTGGTGAACTACCGTTCCTCCGCTGTACAACAACAGTGCGAGGGAGAAGAGAGCACCATCCTCGCGGAGCGATGATTATCTTTATTATGTTTGAAAACAGTGAGTGATTCAAAGGCTGCATTATCCGTAGTGCTCAAAAAGTCAAACAAGAGCAATTCTTTTTGAGTGATTCGTTCGAGGCATTAAAACAGTAATTAAAAAAATGACTAGATTCATCACAACTGCTGATACAACGACTATTTTGGAGTTTCAAATCACAATGCGACGATTCTCAACCGATTAACGGCCACCAGTAGTCAGCGTGACTTCCATCATGGAAGTGTTCGAAAGGCTCAGTGTCATTCTCCAACAGGTACTCTAAGGCTTCGGGACTCCACCCACACCCAGCCACCGACTCGGGCAGCATGGGAACACTATCTGCTGATGATATGAGATCAACAGGCATAGACTCTGAAGCTGCTGGGGCGTTTATGAAGGACTCGGGGGAGCTGCAGGAGGCCGTTCCAGCAGCTGTTGATGAGGCCTCGACAATGGTGAAGGGGTCATCAGCAATCTCGTTCATTAACCTCTCCTCAAAGCTGGCCAGGGCAAGCTCCATCGTCGCACAGGACCGAAGCTGAGAAGAGGAGGGTAGAGTAAGATGAGCCTCTCTGTGCTCATCCATCAGGATCAGTGTTTGCTTTCCTCCGGAGTTTCCTTACCAACTATACAAGTTCATATGCGAATTCGAATAGAAGTGCACAGAAACCAATGAGAATTCCACAGGATTTCCTCAAAATTTTCACACTGTCACCAACACATGTAGTTGACCATGTGCATATTCTCCCACACTGCTCAGGACGGTCGCCACAGAGAAAACGGCAGAGCCCAACAGGAATGCTGCAGCTTACGATTGATTTTATTTGCTCCCCACTGAGAGTGTCGAGATTCTGCAATATCCTGGCACACGACGACAACAGGAAGCCGCCATTGCTCGGATTTGCCTTCATCCCAAGACGAGCCATAAGACTAAACAGTAGCACCTACAACAAGAGAGCACGTACCATCCACCCTGCGCATCTTCCCTACAATGTCCTCTAATGAGACATCCTCTAGCTTGGCCACTGTAGAGAACTTATGGGCAGTAGCTTGCATAAGGGCACCCACTCTGCCACAGGCAGACTCGTAATCCGGCAACCCCGAGGCCAGGCCTGGCACGACGTGCAGTTCCTCTACTCCCAAGGGCGGGGCCTTGATGCTCTCCTGTCAGCGACAGCACAGTGCTATGAGACAGTAAGGTAGAGCGGGCACCTGGTCGAATGCCTGCATGACGGTGATAATCTCATCGACCCTCACAACGGAGAGGTTGTCCAGGACGTAACTGAGATCGAGATATGAGAAGCCCTGGGGCCACCCCTAAGGGCTCCTACCCGCTTGCTGTCATCAACATAGGCAAGCTGGTGTAGCCCAAACTATACATGGGACGGAGGATCTTCGAGATGAGGAACTCGCCGTATTTGTATGGAGTCAATACCACATCAGCAGCAACCGCCTGGGAACACATCACAACAAAAAAATCACAATTACAGCGGAGCGAAGCAGAATAAAAGTGGTTGAGCTCCGAACGCACTCACATCCA